AGCCAGAAGGTCCCCCCTGAGCCTCCTTTGCTCCTGGCAGCAGAGCCCGACCCCCCCCAGCTCCCCCCTCTTGTCAGGGACTTGCAGAAGGTCCCCCTGAGCCTCCTTTGCTCCAGGCTAAATGGCCCCTTCTTTCCCTCCCTTCCAGCAGTTTTTATATTCAAAAGCAGTGCAAGTCAGAGCTTGGGAAAGAAATTCCTCTGCAGCCTCTTTCTCAACCCCACAGCTCGTTCCCCCAGCCCACGTACCCGTGGTCATCGCCTGGTTGGAGGAAATGCAGGCCATGGTGACGGTGTGGGCCGGAGTTTTGTCGGAGAAACCCGCTCCCAAGGCAGCCTGAGACAGCAAAGGGTGTCTGTTAAATCCACAGCTTCTGCTCCACGGGCCAGAGCTGCCTCCTGCCCAGCAGCACACCTTGCCAGGGGAAGCTGAAAACAGCCCCATCGAGTTTTCATTCATTACTGCAGCAGCTCATCCCTTTCCCAGGCTGGAACAGGAGCAGAGGCAGTGCCAGGGCTCAGCTGCACTGTGAGAACAGTCACTGCCCCTCCACATTTTTTTAATAAAGGGACAAGCTAACCACACACCTCACATTTAAAAAAAAAACCAAACACATTAAAAGAGCCTCCAACTACTGGACATCACCTCTGCTTCACCTCACTGGCAAAGGCAACACGTGGAAGGGCTGATTTAGACGGCTCAGCACGAGGTGCTGTGGCTTCACAGGGAGCAGAAAACCACAGTGCACAGAGCAGTGACTCATCTGACCAGCCCACAGCTGCTCCCAGACACCTTCCCTACTTGGGGCACGGCCAACTGGTTGAAAGTTCAGCGGTTGTTCAGCTAAAATTACCCTCCAGCCCCATCTGACTGGCGGGCGACCAAAGCCGGGATTTGCATTCACGAGGCCGAAGCTGCCTCGGCACCTCCCGAGCCCTTCCAGCCCAGGCTCCATCCTGGGCTCATCCAGGAGCACAGAGCAGCAGCAGAGGCTCCAGGTGAGCACAGACCACGGTGCTGCCTCTGCCACAGGCCCTGGGGGATCAGCTGCTCCGTGGGTAACACGGGAACAAAGGGCAGCGAGGCCGCTCCAGTTCCACTCACCCCAACCCTGTGTCTGATCTGCCAACTGAAAGAACAAACACCACAACAAAGCAAACTCTCACAGCACACTCCGAGGACTTTGGGCAAGGCAGCATTCGAGTCACGCTGGTGCTTAAGAGCTGAGTGATCAGCAGTTCTTAACAAAAGCTTCCCTTGCCGGGGAGAATCAAGCAGAGGCCTCACAGCGTTAAAATGAACTATGGAAAATATGATAAAAAACTACAATAAAGGAAAACTATGGCAGATTTCGGCAGGAGGCAGAGTCAGAGAATCACAGAATAATTTTCCTTATAATCCCATGCAGTTATTTAGCAGACAATACTGCACAACTACTTCAGACTGAAATCACCTTTAAATGAACCGTAATGCAAAGAATTTAATTTTTAGCAAGTATTTGTCATCTTCAGACTAGTTGCAGAATCAGACTGGCAGGGAAATGCTGCACATAACCCACCTCTCTGGCAACATTACTGGTTTTCACCTCCTGGATAACTGTGCCATAAACAATGTAATCCACAACATCCTTTGGGACGCTGGTGCGGGTCAGCAGGCCCCTGAGGAGAGCATCAAAACAAAGGGAATTTGCATCACATCACTTAGTAACCTCTCAAACATCCTCTTCCTGCCAGCTTGGCTGGAGAACGAGGCAAGGACAGAGCCACATCTTCTGCCCCCAGCTCAGACCAAACCCCCTTCTGAGAGTGTGACTGAGTGTGGGCTGCAAACAATCTCAGTGACAATATCACTACAAATCATGACACAAGTTCATGAAGGCAACTACTTTACAGCCCAAACACCCTCCTCCTTCCCCGAAATGGTTCATGGAATCATCAAATCCCAGACTGGTCTGGGTGGGAAGGGACCTTAAACTCATCCAGTCCCACTCCCTTCCGTGGGCAGGGACACCTCCCACCAGCCCAGGTTGCTCCAAGCCCTGTCCAACCTGGCCTTGGACACTTCCAGGGATCCAGGGGCAGCCACAGCACTTTGCTCTGACTCTCAACAAAACAAACCCAGTGCTAATGACCTTCAGCTTTTGTCAAACCCCTGCAGAACGAGAGGGACAGGCAGGGTGACAGAATCAGCTCAGTGTCCTTGTTGCTACTGAGTTTCCTCTCCGTAGCCCAGGCTGTTTTTCCCAGCACTTGTAAGCACACCCCAAGAGCAGCTCTGATCTCTGTGTTTGGAAAACTGCAGTTAGGAACCAAATTCACTAAAATTTGTCAACACCACCACCTCTCTGCACCAAGACAAGCCCGTTGCAAAACCCTGTGCTTAAGCCATCTGCTACTGTGGGGGTGGCACAGGAAAGGTGAAGTCATTCAGACAAGACCAGAGCCTTGGCTTTCCAGCACTGCAACCCCAGCAGTGGAACAAGTTTTCTGAGCCCTTCCAGTGTTCACAATTCACTTACTGCAGTGCTGCCCTTGCCAGGTCGTGGGGCATCAGATCCGCGTACCTGGGAGGGGAAGGAGAGGCACAAACTTAGAGGTGTCAGAGACCAACCCAGAGTCCTGCTGTGAGCCCAGCCCAGCAGCAGAGAGCTGGGCAGGCACCAGAAATGCTCCCCTGCCTTT